CTACCAGGCTTGTAATTCTGTCAAAAAACGAGATCAGGTTAGTCTGACATGACTTATTTTTCAGAAATCCATGCTGACTATTGGTGATCACAGCATTCCTTTCTAGGTGCTCACAGACTGTTTGCTTAATGATCTGCTCCAGAATCTTCCCTGGTATTGATGTCAGACTGACTGGGCGGTAATTATTTGGGTCCTCTCTTTTCCCCTTTTTGAAAATAGGGACAACATTTGCCCTCCTCCAGTCTGCCGGGACTTCGCCTGTTCTCCAGGAATTCTCAAAGATGACTGCCAGTGGTTCTGAATCACATCTGCCAGTTCTTTTAATACTCTTGGATGCAGTTCATCTGGCCCTGGAGACTTGAATACATCTAGACTAGCCAAGTATTCTTGTACTATCTCCTTAGTTATTCTGGGTTGTGTCATTTGCTCCAAATTCTTCAGGTCGGGCATTGTTTTCTTTATCGGAGAAGACTGAGGCAAAGAAGGCATTGAGGAGTTCAGCCCTTTCTGTGTCCCCTGTTTGCATTTCACCATCTTCTCCTCTGAGTGACCCCACGGTTTCTTTGTTCTAAACCACATTTGCCCTAAACCACAGTTTGGCTTAGCATTACGAGCAAACTGGGTCAATGAGTCCTGTAAAAATGAGAGGTGAGACACACACCAAAAACACACTAGAAGAGACGTTCAGAATGATTAAGTCCTGTTGAAATGAATTGGACTTCGAAGTAACCAATGAAATAATCCTGTCACGGCATTCATTGGACTTTATAGCTTTTCTTCTCATAGTGCAGAATAAGGTGATAGAATTCCAGCCTGTACTACTACAGATTGCAGGCAAGGAATGTCATATTTCTGAATATTCTCCTATGTTTCCAATATGTAATAAATTTCTGCATTGCAGAAGGTTGGACTAGGTCCTTCCAACTCAACAATTCTACAGTTCTATATAGTAATAGAAAATGTTATTTTACACATGCAGAGGCTTTTGTTTTAATTCAGCAGAACATTCAAAAACCCAGTCTCTGATTAACAGCCTGAAGTTATTGTAACTGACATGCAGGATTCTACCTACTGTTTTTAAGTCCTATCAGAGGCATTTCAATCCCAAAGCTAAATTTCATGTTTAGAATTGGTGAGCATGCACTTCAGGGCTCAAATAATGTCTGAATTTAACAGGGTTTGTACTTGTGAAATCTTCCTTCACAGCATTGGGATTCAACATTTTTTCAATGGATTGGGCTCGTCACATGAGCTTCAACAGGGAAAGGAAAGAGAAAAATCTCACAGTATTTAACTATTTAAATAAATTGCATCTAAAGACGGACATTCCAAAATCCTGGAATGCCATAGACAATGCAAAGAAGTACTAGTTTGGAATGAGTTAGGATAAGATTATAGGTCTTTTGGAGTTTGTCAGATGTGGAGGCAAAGAGGGATGGATCCAATATCATCATGCTCACATCACATCAAAAGCGACACAGAGCTAGTAGTTCTCACCTCCTGTCCGCCCAGAGATTCTACTATAATTCTATCTATGGAAAAGTAAAACTCCCAGGTGGCTATCACCAATGAAGCTATAAAGAGACGAAAAAACTTAATATGGAGCTCCAAAATGGCCAACAATACGGGTGAAGATCTTAAGAGCAAGATGGTGAAAGGGTCAAATTACAGAGTTTATGATAAATTAAAGTCTAAGTACGAGATTGGTTGCATTACCTTCAGATAAACGAGTATTTAAACAGGACAGGAAAGTAGGTTTTCAGATGGAGAGGTCGAAACTAGAAACAGAATTGTTAGAACCCAATACTAAGAACCTTGTCAAGAATGTATAATTTGGCTGCTGAAATGGAACACACAAGATGAAACAGTAAATCAGCTATGATTAAATGGGCACAAGACATAGGTCATAACATTATGTTTGAAGACTGGGAAAGGTTGTGGAATACTGGTGTCAGATTTACGGCCTGTAATGTTTGAGAGAAAATATAATGAAAATGATTTATAGATGGTATATGACCCCAGTCAAACTTGCAAAAATTTACCATTTGCCCAATAACAAATGTTGGAAATGTAATGAAAGTGAAGGTACCTTTTATCACCTTTGTGGACCTGCCCGAGGATTAAGGCCTACTGGGAAATGATCTATAATGAAATCAAAAAGGTCCTTAAATGGACATTTCCTAAAAAACCAGAGGCTTTTCTCCTGGGCATGGTGGGCCAATTGGTGTCAAGGAAGGACAGAACTTTTTTTATGTATGCTACCACAGCAGCAAGGATTCTTCTGGCAAAGTATTGGAAGACGCAGCAGCTACCTACTCTGGAAGAATGGCAAGCGAAGGTGATTGACTACATGGGAATGGCTGAGATGACCGGCAGAATCCGTGACCAGGGGAAAGAGACAGTGGAAGAAGATTGGAAGAAATTGTTGTAAAATTGAAGAGTGCTGAGATGTTATGGTATTAAGAAATAGAGAATTGCAGCTGTATATCATAAATTTAAAGGGGCTATAATGAAGATAAATTAATAATGAAATGAAGGGTTGTTGTTAAAAGGGAAAAATAAGGATGCAGAAAAAGGGAGGTATGGGGAAGTCCGGGAAACAAGGTGAAATAGAATGAGTTTATGAAATTGTACACGTTTATTTGTGTGTATGTTTTGTTTTGTTTTGTTGTTTGTTTATACTATATGTTTGGAAAACTAATAAAAAAATTAAAAAAAAAACAAAAAAAAAACAAAATATATGTGCACAAATAAGTCTGATAAACTTTGGAATTGTGGTGGCATGTAGATAGATGCACCTGTTTTGTTAGCTTCCCCTTTGGAATATGTGATACCCATATGCTCGTGAGCATATTTTCTACTTTCTTTGTGACTTTTTCTCTCTACCCCCTGAACTGAAAAGGGCAGAAGTGAGGCGCAGAGGATGCATTTCATGAAAAAAATTATCTCCCATTAAAAAATCTCCAGTTATTTGAGAAGGAGAGGTGCAAAGTGGGGAGAGGGGGCGTTTTCAAAGGGTACAGATGCACTTCAGGGTTCTTCCAGTATTACTCTTCGGTTTCAGATTGGTCCAAAATGGCTTTCTTCTGTTTACTATCTGCAACTCTGTTTAATATCAGAATTGTAAGCCACTTTCCTCCAACAATAATTCCGCCCTTCTTCTTTCATTTTAACAAAAGAGGAGAAAAATATGAATTCCCCAGTGAGAATCTTCTGGGAATGACTCCCGTTTCTTAACTTACAGAATTTAAAGCAATCCTAGCATAAAACAAATATTCTATATAATAGCATTCCTGTTTGCAAAACAGGATATACTGTGTGTGTGTGTGTGTGTGTGTGTGTTGGGGACATATATTTATGGCATTCCTAAACATCACATCAGGGCCATCCGTAGGTGGCCCTTTGGAGGTACCTGCTGCAGCCCGAATATCCCCACTTCCTCCCTCACCTCTGCATTGAGAAATACGTAGTGTTAGAGAAAGAACAGGAAGATTAAAAAGAGATACTTCTGTTTCCTTCTCGGCCAATTATGTATATAACTGCTATTTAGGGTGGGAGACTGAGGAAGAGGAAGGTCTGCCAGGTGGGAGGTTTCAGCTCTCTGTGTGTGGAGATTAAGATAAAATGGTGACTGAGCACTACATAGATATATTTATAATTTTGTGTTTTATGAGGATCATATGAGGATTATTATTACTGTATTTTGCTCCCCCCTCTTAGTTTAAGTTTAGTTTTCCTGTTATATTGGGGTTTTTTAATATATATATATATATATATATATATATATATATATATATATATATATATATTGTTCTCTTTAGTTTGAATTTTATGGTATATTAGGTTGAAAAGCTTTAATAAAATTGATTGTCTAGGGTTGTGGAAGCCTCCATGTATGTGTGACAGAGAATGAGTGAACAGATGAATGAGAGAGGGAAGGAGGGAAAGAAAGAGAGGAGGGAGGAGAATGGATTAATAAAGAGGAAAGTGGGGGAAGAGAAAAATGGGTTTTCCTGTTCACTTTGGCCTTGGCCACCACAGGTATGTAGCCCTCAGCCACTTTCCTCCATTGGAATGTGGCCCTCAGCCACTACAAGGTTGTCTACCTCTGCTATGCTCTAGGCAGCTTCTCCATGTTTGCTGTGCAGAACAATTACTAGAATATTCCATCCCCTTTCTTTCAGGACTGCGGTCCTGTTTCCTTGCATTCCGTTTGTCCAAATGAATCAGCCCAAGTTCCCAATCCGGGGAGAGCAGCCAGAGACCAAATGGGAGCAAATTAACACTGAGGGAACTAGTGGGGTTTTAGCCGAGAAGTCCCTACTGTAGTCGCCTCCAAATGCTTGAGAATCATTGGGCTTTATAATTTATTACTATTTTCACGTAACCCTCGAGGGCCTCGTTGACTGAAGAGGATAAATGAATTATTATTGTTGGAGACTTGGGCTTTTGTACAGACACATGTTCTGTATTTTATACTTGAGGTAAGGGATCCATTGGCCACTTGATGGGCTGGAAATGGGGTGTGTGGAGAAGCCAAGAAAGGAAAACTTTTGTGTCTTTTTTCCCTCTCGGCACTTTGTTGCCATATGGATTGGATAGAGATCACTTTTTATATATGTATGTATATATATATACATACAATCTACGAAAGCATATATATATATATATATTTAAAAAACAAACCTGTGGGGGCTTTCTACATTGATAAACATGTGGTTTATCTGAAAGAAATAAAGTATTAAAAATGCACTTTGAACAATCTTTAATGCCCATGGATGTGCCAAACAAAAACAAAAGCATAATTTTGAAGGAACCTGGCCCACTGCCCAATTTGTAATAGGCTATGGGTTTTATTTTCCTTTGGAATATGTTGTTTAATGTTTTAACCATCAGAACTGATGTGTTTCTCTCTGTTTTGAGTTTAGGCCATGCACTCTACTCAGCCCCATGACAAATTGAATCCCATGCTAATGTCCTGTAATAAGATGAGACATTACCTTTATAAATGACCTCATGGAGAAGAGGTTTGCCAGCATTGTCGATAGGCCTGGTGCCAGGCAGCTCTGGGCGATGAAGCCCAGCTTGAGTTCTGCAAGGCATATTGCATCATCCCCTTCTTTCCAATTCCAGCTTGGGATATTTAGCAGATGGGCCTGCAAAGGAAAAACACAGGTTAAAGAAAAAGTAAAAAAAAACCACCTAACCAAACATTTGCATCTGCATTTTGCTAACAAAGGATCGGGAAGAGGAGGGGGGAACAGGCAACTGCTCTAGGGTCGCTAGTTGTTCGGTTAAAAAAATCACTTCTACCCTACTCATAAATGAGTGTATCAGAGCATGTGCAGAGTGCCTTTTCTTATTTGAAAATAGTTGCCCTAAGGGCAGAATGGCCCCGAATGCAGAGTCCTGCCCAAACAGTGTCATATTTTCTGCACAAGAAATGAATTTTATTGACTGTACAGTGGTACCTCGGGTTACATACGCTTCAGGTGACAGACGCTTCAGGTTACAGACTCCGCTAACCCAGAAATAGCACCTCAGGTTAAGAACTTTGCTTCAGGATGAGAACAGATATCGCGCAGCAGTGGCGTGGCGGCAGCGGGAGGCCCCATTAGCCAAAGTGGTGCTTCAGGTTAAGAACAGTTTCAGGTTAAGAACGGACCTCTGGAACGAATTAAGTACTTAACCCGAGGTACCACTGTACAGAAAAAGAACACTGAACACCCAGGGTATTGCTGGTTGATGTCTTTTTAACAGGCAACTGGCCAGGAGGATGATATTCTGGCTGGCTAGTACAACTAGCTGTCCCACAGAGAAATGTTGGAAAACAGAAATGTACCGCTCCAGCCCCTTCACGTCTCATCCTCTGTGTTGTCATAGTTGGATAAATCAAGGTTTACCACATTAAAAAGTACTTACAATTTTGCCACATATTTAACCACACGTTCACAACTGATGAGTGGAAACACTCAGCACAGCACTTAGCAGTAAAAAAAGTTCAACCAATAGCTTGGTTACCTCTTTTGTCTTGGTTTTTTTACTACACACACACACACACACACACACACACACACACTGCCCATCTGGCTGGGTTTCCCCAGCCATTCTGGGCAGCTCCCAACAGAATATTAAAAACACGATAAAACATCAAACATTAAAAACTTCCCTAAGCAGGGTTGCCTTCAGATATCTTCTAAATCTTCCTTGACATCTGATGGGAGGGTGTTCCACAGGGCGGGCGCCACAACCGAGAAGGCTCTCAAGCTTTAACTGGTTAGACTGTTGCAGAGAACCCATACTAATGACCAAGTAACCTTGGGATGAGATCCTGGAGTAAACTTGGTCATTCAGAGAATTCTGCCAAGTGGTGAGGATGATTTTACCACTTATTAAATGTAGATGGTGGTAATATGTGCAATAAAATGGCTGTAACCACCCTTAAAGGCTGTATCTTAATCAGAATGTAACTGTGTTACAGATTAGCTTTATTCATAATTTCCTGCACATTACTGAAATTTACAAGAGAGGCTTATGAGAGAGGTGTTAACAAGAGAAAGTTTGGAGATGAGCATCCCACAGACTTTCCATTACCTTGTTGTGATACTGCAGCATCTGGGTGATTATTCTTATTTTCGGATGATAATTCTTGATGGAAATTACTCTGAAAAGAAAACACACCAACATTTGTTATTTTCACTCAACAGCAATTCCACAAATATGACTCCATGGCCAAATAGGATGTCATATTTTTCAGTTCAATAACTCCTTCACGTACTTCAGTGGCTACTTAAAATACAGCTTTCCATAATGCCTAAACCAGGAAACTATGGCTTAAGGGCTCCCTCCAAACCATGGTATGAAACCAGGGTTTGATCAAAAGGGGCAAATGTTGCACAGCCTACTGTGAACTGTTAACACAGGACTTTATGTCCACCATTTCCACGCAGAAAACTCTATAGGACTGTGTAGTTCAAATTCAAGCTTGCTAACTTGCTGGGCTCCAGGTCAAACACTGTGCCTCTGAATTGTAACAACTTATTGCTCTGTTGGGTCGTGTCTACATTGTTAGCAAAAAATAATAATAATAATCAATATGTTTGGGCCCCATTCCCTTGTTGACTAGCCTGGGTCACTCATAGGACACTGTGTTTCTCTATACACACCATCCATAATACATTTTGTACATTACAATTTATATCCCATGATTAAAGTGAGGCAAGAACCTCTGGTTCTGGCTAAAAATCCATACATATTCTATCCACTTTATTAAAATGCAGGAAAACACAACACAAAATACTGCATTTATCGGAATACAAATAGTAGCTCCTGTCAAACAAAGGTTGGGGGGAGGAGACTTGTGACCTGTCCTTGAATTGACCATTTTGTTACAGTACAGATAATGGCTAAGGGACAATGTCCCAGATGTAGGGCAGAACAGGAACGAATGATTTCACAATGTGGTTCAGCTCCCAAGGGGTGCAGTGAATATGAATGCTCTTGCCTTGCTTCTTTTCCCCGCCCACAAAATAGATCTCCAAAGCCTTCACCAAACAAACAAATGTTATGGTAACAATACCGCAAGTGAAGATTTCCAGTCAGCTACTGGGAGTGGAGGGGAATGTATTGCTCCTATATTCCACAGCCAAGCATGGACTTGACAAAATTGGTTGCATAGCTTGCTCTGACAAGCAAGAAGCAATTTGCAAAGATATTTATCCCACTCTTAATTCTCCTTCTTAAACTCTTTTTTAGCTGAAGCATTTAATTAAGCATTCAATTTTATTGAATCAAACTCGTTTGTTCTGCAAATACGCAGGAGGATTCTGTTCACCCAATAACTTTTTTTTTTTAATTAAACACATGGAATCTATTTAAAAGCTCACTAATCTGCATCTGGATTTCTCTTTAATCTATGTATATAATTTAAAATCAAAGCAAGAGTTCTCCCACCAGATTAAAATGTGCCTTTGGAAAATTAAAGAAGCCAGGGTTATGTGTGTGTGTGTTTTTTTTTGGGGGGGGGGCACGGAAAGGGATATTCCACAACTTTGTTGCTATATGTAGTAACAGAGGTTCTTGTCAGATCCTAGTCTTGCAAGTCAGATTTGAAAGGGGAGAGGGGCTAGCCACCTGTCAATTATGTCAGATGATTGGACACTTTGAAATCCCAAAGTTGGGACTTCAAAGCACCACACAAGGCTTGCAGAGAGCCCTGCATGGTACTTTAAAGCAAATATGGATTTGGCCTAAGAGCCAAAGCCTGCTTTCTGTAGGTAAACTCGATCCAGTAGGCTTCAACTGGTGTGCGGTACAATCAAAGCTTGCTTTCTGCTGGGAAGTGTGAGCCAGCAGTAAAACCAAAGCCAACTTTCTTTGTGCATTGGATGCCTGAGTGAGTGCCCTGCTGGTTCCCCAACCCTGCCATAGGTATTTGGTCACCTATTTCCTAGTTGGTGCTGTTAATCAAGTTATTTGCAAAACTGGCCAAATAGGAACAGGGAAGCACCTGTGGTACTTCTGTAGCTGGTCTGGGGTTTACCTCCCCAGACTGCCTTGTGGGAGAAGAGAAGGCATGAGCTATCACACCATGCCAGAACTACATATGGCTATACACAAATCCAGACTGTGATCTCCGACCCACAGTCCCTGGAGGTCGAGTGCTTGAGTAGGGGTTGGAGCCTGAAGCGCAATAAGCACAATGTATATATTTTGTTGATGAGGCAAGGGTAGAAGGCCAGACACATAGGACTTATACAAGGCCTGGTGAATTCAGAGGCTCCTACCAACCTCAGGGTTTGAAGTTCCATACTCTTAGTCCCCTATTCCTGAAGAGGGCTCTGACTCCTGAGAAAGCACAGTGCCATGTAGCTTATTAGGCTAAATCCTAGCTCACAACCTTGAGATTCTGGGTTCAATTCCCAGAGCTGTTGTTGCCATTATGGGTGACACACTGCTGCTATCCAACCTCAGTTGGTTTTCACACTGGGGCTCTTACAAGAGTCCTATGCAAGCCCCATCAGAACAGCAGCTGCTCTTACTTATTGTACTGCTGCCTTAAGAACTTCCTCTCAAAATGGCACTCAGGAAAAAATAAAATAAAGAAGAATGGGCACCACCCCATGCAGCGCTCCTTGAATTTAAACTGCTTCTCATAGCTCTGCCTTCATTTTGCAGCATGTTTGTGTGTGACAGCCCAATAAAATTGGTTCTGAATATGGGCCAATTCACTGCATTAGTTCATTTTTAATGGCACTCTGACATTTTAGTGTTGTGGTTTTTTTTAAAAAAAGGGGGCAGATTGGTTCCATTAAATAAGATCTGTATGAGCACAATGCAAATAATAAGGAAAGCTGTCTTATTATAACCCTACATTTGTGATTGCTTTGCTACCTTTCTGCCATTGAGATGAACCATAACATTTTTTTTCTTTAGAAATCAGTACCACCTAGATTGGGAGCTGTATTTTTCAGTTGTGAATAAAGCTTAAATCCAACAGGTTAGAAGCAAGGAGGAACTAACTTCCTATGAGAAGGAGACTCGTGTTACATGTCCCCAACCAGTCAGATTGTTACATAGCTAACTGGATTCTGAATTTAAAAAAAACCCTTCTTACAAGACTCATATGACAGGGAGATTTGCTTACCGCACAAATGATGCATCTCCCAAGAGTCTATGTGCTATTTTTATGATATGCTGAAGGAACCACTTAGTGGGAGCATTATAGATTCTAGAAATGTGTGATAGCAATAATGAAGGCAACTAACTGCAACCACATTAGCTAAGATACTTGTGAGGGAAGGGTAGATTTTAACAGTGTGATCCTATGGCAAGTGCTAGATTTGGGAGCATGCAGCCTCAGTGAATGAAATGTTGAGAGGGAAAGGGAGAGGAATGTCTCAGCATTTCCTGCCTAGGGTGTTGGACTTGGAATCTGAGCAGTTCCTGTTCTGCCCAGTTCCCATTTTTCTATATAAAAACTCAATTGTTTAGTGTGGCAGCACTGACACTGTGGAACTCCCTGCCTTTTGATATCAGGCTGGCGCCTTCGATGAATTTTGTTCAGCATCTGCGGAAGACATTCTTATTTAGACAAGCCTACCAAGATGTTTAGAAAGCTTTATGAGTTTTAATTTGTTTTAGCACACTCTATTGTAGGTTTTGTTTTGTTTTTTAATTATGGTAGCGGTTGTTGTTTTTTAGTGATAAGGTTATCTATTTTTTGTAAACTGCTTTGTGGCTTTTTCCTCCAATCAAGCGGTACATAAATTTTATGAAACAAACAAACAAACAAATTCCTGAAAAGGAGAGAGAGGAAGAGGATGCCATGAGAAACACCATCATTATCCTCACTTTTAACCCAACGTATCCCAAGAGCTCAGAAACAGATTGAAAATATAAAAGGAAATAGTATGAGATCTGTGTTCATGACCCAGTGTTTCTTCTCTGAGATTTTGCTGCCTGGGGCGGGCAAGAAGCTTATGCAGAAGCTGACTGGACTAACAGTCGAATCTTACCTCTAAGTCCTCCACCAGGCATGAGGCGGCCGGCTAATTTAGGTGGGAGGAGTGCAGGACATGCCACGTAGCAAACATAGCTCTGTCCTTCAAGGGAGAGGAATGGTCAAAGGGGCATGGAAGGAAACAGCAGGAGGGACTCCTCCTCCTCCTCCTCCTCAGCATTTGCTGACTGAGGCAGTTGCCTCGCTTGCCCAATAATAGGCCTGGTTCCGTTCTTTCCATGTTTCTTTGTTTCATGGAGTAAAACTGAATCAAAATGTCCTGTTCTAAATTACCTCATAATATTGGAGGCATCTTCAGCATCTGGGTCAGCGCAGTATTTGTTGGCAAGGATTAGGCACGCGTCTGCTGACTCTATCTGGACACCAAAGGAGAAAACAAACATAAAGAGCAATCTGATGTTTACAATAATTTTCTCCAACCCTTATCAGCTTTCATGGCATCTCCTCATTCCAGCACTAGACTGTGGAATCGTGTGTGTGTGTGTGTGTGTGGTGTACCATGCCATGAGCTACATGAGTCACATAAGAAGAGCTTTCTGGATCAGTCCAAAGGCTGATCTAGTCCAGCATCCTGTTCTCACAGTGGCCAACCAAGGAGGGTATCTCTAGTCCTCCACTACTCTATTCTTAACACCATATTGTCTCAGGCAGAGGAGACTAGGCCTCAAAAGCCTGGCCTTTCCACAATAACAGCATTCCAGAAAGTGGAAGACTCCTGAGGATTAGAAACTGCTTGCTTAGTGAGGTGGAGCCACAACACCAATTTAACTGTAGGAGTGTCACTGCCGTTTACCAAGTGATGGTGGGGAAGTCTGTGTGGACACATTGGGCACAAATGCCAATGCAACTCCCACTCTTGGTGCATGACAGCAACACCACAGCCAGGAAGCTAGTGTTGTGGTCCTACCCCACCACGCAAGTCGCTTCTGCCAATGATGTAAACTCCATAAACACAGGTGGGAGGAAGCAGGGAGGGGTAACACATATCCATGGCTGTGGGGAGAGGTAGAAGAATCCTCTTTGAGGTTTTCAACAAATTGGAAGAAGAGTTGTGAAAAGTCCAGGGATAGAGGGACTTTCAAACTATTGCAGGCCAGGATGATCTATGGTTGAAAGTGTGGAAATGCAGTTGCCTCAACAGAAAACCCCCAAGGAGTGAAAGCAACTGAAAAGAATGGGTAACATAACATCAAACCCTGAGACTTTTCATAGATGAGGCATGGGATCCTCCTTCACACATTATCTGCATTAAGAGAATCCACACACAGAAAGAAGCAGCAGGGTCATGTTGTTGGTCTCACCTCCGACATCCATATATTAGACGTGGATGTGACAGCTGAGGAAATCTATACATTCAGACCTCTATGCATGAAGGTTTCCATGGGAGCTGGAACTCTATGCAATCAGAGTTTTAGCTTCCATAGCTTCCTCTCACATTGACACCCTGGCTCAGACACTGCCTCAACTGTGGGCACCTGCAGGCATATTTTGATGTTATTCCATGGGGGGCGGGGAGTCACCACCCATTCTGAAAATAACAAATGCTTTCACACCTTTTATACCCGATCTGCTAGTTTACAAGCACATCAAGTCCCCCGCCTCTTTTCCTGCTGATAATTAATTGAAATAATTCCTTTCGATCCCCTATGAAGTTGGAATAACCAACAGATTGTTTCGAGGTTGTATCTGTACTACAACCCAGTATCACTTTTACTCCCATAGCTATTCCCAAAGGATCATGGGAACTGTAGTTTAGTTTGGTAAAGATGCTAAGATTTTCTTGCCTTCCTCACAAAACTACACATCCCATTTTTCCACCTGGAAAGAAAATAACTGTAACTATACAGCAGGACCCTTAGTTAAATGCAGACACCAAACAGAAGGGTAGAAAAAAAGGAAGGAAACCAATACCTTTACTCTAGCCAGGTCATGCGGATTGAGAACTGAACCCTGAAAAAATTCCACCTGAGTGAAGTGTCGTTTAAAAAGAGCTTCCAACTCAAGGTTAGGGGAGATACTAAATTGAAAAAGAAAGGACAAAACAAGCAGAATAAAGTCAGTTTGTGAGCATTACTCCTGTTTTTGTCTTAATTTTACAAAATTATTTAATAGGTATGGAGTCAATTCTGTAGGAACCATGAGTGGTTTATGTTCTAATTTTCTCTTCCTTTCTATCTCTACTAAGGTTGTCAACAATCCATAATTTTACTGGTCCAATCTGGCAAGTCACCAGAACAGAAACATTTAAAAAGAAAGAAGAATAGGAGAAGAATATATGCATTGTTGTCATTGTAATTTCCCTACATTCTATAAAAAGCTTTTTTTAAAAAAAGATGGTTTCGTCAGAGGACAAGAGACCGTCCATACTATTTATTTCATTAAAGCACGAGACAGGAGACAATCTACCTATGCTGAAACACACAGTTTTAGGTGTCAGCACTGTCTTATGCAAAAGCTGGAAACTCTAATGCCTCACCATTTCCACTTTGCCATCCTTGGTGACTTGCTAGACGGGAACAACCTAAAATGCTCAGAGCTTTGAGGCGATCCTTTCTATAGTCACTCCCCACTTTGAGTAACACAGTGACCATACTAAGCAAACTGTGACTTTGCATGACTTGAGCAATCAAATGGACTCCCAGTGAGAATATCAGGGTAGTTTGGCTCCTCTTGCTGTGAGCTTAGCCATGGTTTGGTTTAGCATGTGGCGTTACTTCTATGTGGGTTGTGTAATGGCTTACTGCTTGTGATTTCTCTGGGAAATATAAACCATGAGCCCAGTTTGAGACAACGGCCCTGATCCTTCCCCTAAGTGCTCAGATATTTTCTCCTTTGTGCCAAGCCAAAGTTTGGCTTAATGTTACATGAGAACTGAGCTAATCTGTTAAAAACAAAACAAAAGCACCACTGTGCCATTTGCACTTTGCTTTATCCCACACTTCTCAGATAATTATACCCCGTTTAATGTAGCCTGCTGTTAAGGGCACTGATATCACTCGTTTCAAAATTGCTCCCAGCATTTAACTGATAAGAGAAAGGTCAAAACTGCCTTACAAGCAGCTTTGAAAAAAAGGAAAAACAACAACCCTGTCAGTTCTGGAAGACATGTCAGATCTGATGTTGGATTTTATTGTAATGGCAGGATCATGACAAACAGCAACTACTTTAGAGCATTCATGACTATTGGCAAGGACATTTATGGGGAATTATTAAAATCTGTCTAGAGAATCTGAGATCCAGCCTCTCTTTTTTATGTGTGTATTGTTTCATAGTCATTAATATTTGCAAGAGAGGAACACTTCTGCTTCTCTGGAAGTTTGTAAATAGTTAGTTACCCATCTAACCAACTGTGGCAATCATGGATAGCCTCCAAGCAGGGAACCAGGAAGAGACACTTTCATAGACTGGAAGAGAGGAAGGAAGGAAGGAAGGAAGCCTTCCTATCTATCAATACCATATATGATTGAACATTAAGTAAGTGTAATCAAGGGGACACGGGTGGCGCTGTGGCTTAAACCACAGAGCCTAGGACTTGCCAATCAGAAGGTCGGCGGTTCGAATCCCCGCAGTGGGGTGAGCTCCCATTGCTCGGTTCCTGCTCCTGCCAACCTAGCAGTTCGAAAGCACGTCAGAGTGCAAGTAGATAAATAGGTACCGCTCCAGCGGGAAGGTAAACGGCGTTTCCGTGCGCTGCTCTGGTTCGCCAGAAGCGGCTTAGTCATGCTGGCCACACAACCTGGAAGCTGTACACCGGCTCCCTCGGCCAATAAAGCGAGATGAGCGCCACAACCCCAGAGTCGGTCATGACTGGACCTAATGGTCAGGGGTCCCTTTACCTTTAAGTGTATGCAAGTGGGCTAGTAAGAAATATTGTGGACTAGAAACTTGTGGATTGACTTGCAAAGCTGGATACAGCCAGAGACAGAACTTGAATAGCATAATGCATCATCTCAAATACAATGCTTCTGCTGTTCTTATATTCAATTGCCAGCCATTTTTATATACAGTAATATAGAGAAATAAAGTCATGCACATGCATGTACGAACCTGCTCTCCACAGAAGTATCCAATTTGCATTTAAAATTTATTTTTTCAGAAGATTGTTTCAGCCTCAACCTAAGCCCCAAATATCAAAACAATAGTACTTGGGGGAAGGGCTAACAGAGGGCATGTAACAGGTTCTTATGTAAGCCAGAAGTTATTTGGGTTGGGACGATTTCTGGGGCTTTGCCAGATGGTCTTAGAGACTGTACAGCTTTTTTTTCTAGCACCCCAGCAATTCCCTGCACTTCCCCAAAATGTTATTTAAGAGCCAGGCAGCCTGTTGGTTTAGCACCGTCGGAGCAATGATTAGTTTCCAAGACATGGACAAAAAGTAGGCTTATGCTAAAAAGAAACAAAAAACCATTCTGTACATGTGCAAAATCTCATTTTACATTCCGAGTTGCAGAATAACTTCTCAGGGAAATTTATGCTTGGATTCATAATGCATTCAAGCATTACTACCGGGGCCAATTCATAATCTGAAATAAGGAATGACAAACTAATTTGAGCCAGTTTTGCATCTGTTGATTGAATTTTGACATTCCTTCCATACATGCAATATATATATAAAACCTTTTGTGGTCATCCTCTTGTTAATGACTAGGGCTGGACTGTTTTTTTGACTTCATGGTACAGAGTGATGAATTTTTGGTTCCAAGTCTTGGGAGTTATAGGATGACAAGCTATAGAGTATATTTGAGGCCATAATCATGTTTTCTTACATTGAATGATTTCCTCTTTAATAAGCACTATAATATTTATAGTTATTTTTAAGAAGCGGGGGGACAATGGGTAAGCTTAACTGTTACAAAGTATTATAGCATTGTTCTGCAGTATAGGTTGTGAAACAAATTTTGCAAGTACGAGACACCCACTGAATTCAGCTCTTGTGGTACACTAAGAAATAGACTCCTGCTAATGGAATGGCCATTGTGCAAGTGGAATGAAACTTGGGTATCACCCTATATTATGCAGGCCGGTGGTTTCCAAACTTCCTACTTTCTAACAATCCTGTCCATCTTAACTTGTCTACTGAAGAGTCAATGCACATTCACAACAGACAGAACGTTTGCTTCTTATTGAAGTTTCATGAGCATCTTTCTAGGTACAAGACCACACACAGTTCCACTAGGTTGCTGGCCATGATTGTTGGTTCTCACTCCTGTCCCACATGAACTGACAGACAAACTTCACTTTATATTTTTTTCTTTCCTTTTTTAAAAAAATAATAATTTAAAAAAGCATGTTGATGCTGGTAATTGAAGGTTTGAATTTTGTACTTACTTATGCAGAAAGACAATTTCTACGTTCACATCATCCCTGTCCTTGTGCAGGAAGTCCTTCAGGAAGTTGGACACGCTTTCCAAAGTTATGTGGCCACAGACAACTATGTGCCTGGGACAGGGGAAAGAAAAGGGAGGGCACAGTTAAAAGTTTGCTGAGAGGAACAACCAGGCAGGAACACAAGCAAGCGCAAGAGAATTTGGAAAATCACTGCTTTGTTGTGGAAAAAAAGAAATGTGAAAGGGGGAAAGGAAAGAAGCACCAATCTACTGGTGTGTGCCTCCAGTTCATTCCTGAAAGAGAGAAAGGAAAATACCGACACATTGAGAAGCCCAGAGACACCAAAATACTTCAGCGGTCTAATTTAGCAAAAGATTATTACGAGCAAATGGCCAACTGGTTATGTGCACATAATAATGAGACACAGGCCCTTTTGGGTGTAACAATTCTGCTTGCTTAACTATGGCCCATTCACTCATCCCTCACCTCTTTCCTCTTTGCTTAAGCGCTTCAAACCTGGTCTGTTTAAACTAGGAATTCCTCTTTACACACAAAAAAGGGGAACTCTGGTTTAATGCTTGCTGACCTAGCCTGATCTTAAACCAGATCTGAGTTTGGCCTACAACTAGTAGTTTCTAGTGATGCTTGCTGAAAGGGTTACATGATGCTTTACCAAAGGTGTCATGGACTTTGAAGACACTCGAACTCAGAACGCAAGGGAGAAACGTGCTAAGAGGAAGGCACACTTGGCAAATCCACACCATGATCAACTCCTGTCTGGAAACCAATGTCCCCACTGTGGAAGGACGTGTGGGTCCAGAATTGGCCTCCACAGTCACTTATGGACTCATTGCTAAAACAGTGTTTATGGAAGACAATCTTACTCGGCTACGAGTGATCGCCAAAAAAGGAGGAGAAGAAAGAAGAAGAAAACATGATGCTGGTGGTTTCTTTCAGTCACCAGGTTTATTGCCCATGATAATCAAAGGTTTCTTCATCGGAAAACTGTTTGCTAAAAAGAGATTATTCTACATTATAGTATATTGTAAGAGCTAAAGTTGTAAAAGAACTGAAGTCTTAACCCAGATCATGCACTGGTCAAAGGTATGCTTGGGGTAAGCACCATGTAAAAAGTCTATTTTCCTAAAACTATAAATTTATTTAGCTAATAAGTGATTATTCCTTAACCATATCCTCAATTTAATACCAAAATATGCTTATCCAAGGAAAACATGATCCGGGCTTCTTGTTTAAAAGTATCCTTCCTCTTTCCCTTGGATTTTTTCCACCCAGCACTTAATTTTACTGTGTAACTGTGTATCTTCTGGAATTTTGTGATCGGTGCCTTTTCGTTCAGGGGGCACTCAAGGGTATGCAGTACTGGCACCTCTCTTTTCTGTTATTAAAATGTGTGGCACTTACTGTAACAACTTCATGGTGAGTACTTGCAGCTATTTTTCTAGAAAAAGGAAGCACTGGTGATCACCAACCTTTGTTTATAAGATCTCAATCAGGGATTGGAAACCCATTGACTCTCCAGATGTTGCTGAACTACAACTCCCATCAGCCCCGACCAACGGCCACGCTGGTTAGGGTTGAGGGAATTGGAATCCAACAACACGTGAAGGTGTAGCCCTGACAGTGTCTATCTCAATTTCTTCCTGTGAGTTTCATTTGCCGTAAGGAAGGACCCAGTGCACTATGAGCAGTCCCATTAGCAGGGGCAAGGTAAGGCCACCTCCCCAGGTGGCAGGAAGCCCCCCCCCCGGTGGTGAACTTTGAACTGGAGACTTTCTAGCTCTCAGGTAACCATCCTTAGTCACCATGCTCCATAGACATAGAAATCTGCTATGTCCCTTGAGAGTCACTGCTTCCTCACCTCTACATGCAGATAAGCCATTTAACCTATCGTACATAACAGCTAGGGACGCGGGTGGCACTGTGGGTTAAACCACAGAGCCTAGGATTTGCTGATCAGAAGGTCGGCGGTTCGAATCCCCGCAACAGGGTGAGCTCCCGTTGCTTGTTCGCTGCTCCTGCCAACCTAGCAGTTCGAAAGCACGTCAAAGTGCAAGTAGATAAATAGGCACCGCTCTGGCGGGAAGGTAAACGGCGTTTCCATGCGCTGCTCTGGTTTGCCAGAAGCGGCTTAGTCATGCTGGCCACTTGACCCGGAAGCTGTACTCGCTTGGCCAGTAAAGCGAGATGAGGGCCACAACCCCAGCGTCAGCCACGACTGGACCTAATGGTCAGGGGTCCCTTTACCTTTACCTTTACCTTTACATAACAGCTAACGCAGCAAGACTACAGATCTCTTTGCAAATACAGTGGTACCTCTAGTGGTACAGTGGTACTTAATTCATTCCGGAGGTCTGTTCTTAACATGAAACTGTTCTTAACCAGAGGCGTGCTTTTGCTAATGGGGCCTCTTGCTGCTGCTGCACTGCAGGCACACGATTTCTGTTCTCATCCTGGGGAAAAGTTCTCAACTTGAGGGAACTCTTCCAGGTTAGCGGAGTTTGTAACCTGAAGCGTTTGTAACCTGAGGTACCACTGCATTTTGTTTTACATGCAAATAAGTAAGATGTTAAGTTATACCCAAATATTTTTTCTCCAAAGGCAGAGAATATGGCGGACTGGAATGACTAGTGAGGGCTTTGGGCTTCCATTACAAATGCTTTTTCTTCTTCTTTTAAGTAACATAAAAAGGGGTTCCTAAATGTAACATAAGCATTCACTGCATAGTTTGCAGCTTAATCCTTAATTTACACATGTTTTCACAAAAGTGATTTCCACTGAGTGCATTGGGAGTCATTTCCTGGTAACTATAATTAGGATTGCAGTCTTAACATACCATTGCAAATGAGCAACCAAAGAATCAGATTTGACAGTAGCGAATATGACAGCATTTTATAATGTTCCATGACACAGCCTCCAGTGCCTTACATCTCAATCCTAATTATTTTTACTTAGAAGTAAGCTTCTTTGATTTCAGCTGAACTTCTTTTCAAGAAAGTATGTTGCAGATCACAGTGGGGAGGGGAGGCAGGCAACTCCAACTGACATCAATGAGAATGATTTCCAAGTAATACAATAGTCTATGATCTTTGCGGAGTGTTGAGTTTTTGCTGACTATTTAGTGTGTAAACTGGTTCAAAGACTGAGCTGAAATGGCCAACTGAGGGATGGACATTTTCATCACAACACAGATTAAATGAACGTTTTTATTCCTCACAAGTTTTCAGAAGGTTGCTGCATATGAAGTATTGTACTCCCATGCTTCTTGCCATTAATTTCCCACATGTCTCCCAATATTCATTGGTGATCTATGGGAATGAGTAGAGACAATCTCTTGCTGATATCCTACTACAGTGTGCATATAACCCACTGGTGAACCAGTCATCTGTGTCATCATGCTAACTGGTGTGGAGAATTTGACTACCATCATGTTTTCCCCAATTCCGCAACAGGTGCAAAGTACGGGGGAATTATCCTCACTACTTGGCCAAACAATGGCAGCGACCAGTTTGCAAAGTTGAGACTTGCCTCCCTTGGAAACCTACCACCTCCTAAATGGTAATCTGTATTCATTTACAGAAAAGAGCGTGGCTAAAGTTCATTTTGTTAAGGCAATGGCACCACACTGTTCAATACACCAGTCTCGTGGAGGGTCACCAATCCTCCCCCTTTTGTTGTGCACAATGTACGACTGTATTCATCAGCTGGCAGCTGAACTGGCAGCAGGTGGCAGATAATGAGCAAAGCACTTTCAGAGGTAACATTTAGACCATCCAGGTCACTCCTGCTTTGTAATTGTTCTGAACACATTCCAGTAAATGTGTCTGTGTGGTGGTGGGGAACCACTGACTGTAAGCTATGAGAGATAGGCAGCAAGCAATCACCATCCATGTAATTTAACATTAGGGGCCTTTATGAGCTCCTGCCCTTGTTTCATAATTCAATGCTTGACTAAGAATGTGAGAAATAATTGTGGGGGTCTTGTTGGTGGGAGGATAATAATGCAGAACAATGGATAAATCGAGAACAAGCACAAAGGCTTCATTAACATCACCACCCAACATGGTTCTACTTGGAGTGGCGTCATTAGTGACAGTGAAATTGCACCATTATATAGCACAGTACATCTTATATAGCATTGCTTTCTTCAGTGGGCCAGAAAAGAACGAGTTAAAACAAAACCCTGCATATTTAACAAGTTCTTTCTAGCCCAATGAAGGTTTCTTTTTCAAAAAATAAAATAAAATCATTATAGTGATTCTGTCTATATGCCTAAATCCAAGCCTTTTATTATTAACTCTCAGAATGTGTGTTTCTCCACTAACATAATCTAATGCAGAGGATGTGTTAGGGTGCACAGAGGGATTGTGAGTCAGTAGGGGGGAAAGAGCACAGGAAGACTCTGAAGAAGAGCACAGAGATGGACAGATGGCAGAAACATGGCGGAAAGGAAGAGCAGGGTTGGGACAGGATGGAGGGAAGAAACAACAGGGTGGAAGGAGGAGGGACCAGTGTTAGTGAGCAGACTGGCAGAGGATAAATTGAGCTAGCACAGGCTTCCTCAAACTCAGCCCTCCAGATGTTTTTGGCCTACAACTCCCATGATCCCTAGCTAGCAGAACCAGTGGTCAGGGCTGATGGGAACTGTAGTCTCAAAACATCTGGAGAGTGAAGTTTGAGGAACCCTGAGCTAGCACCTCCTTTGTGGAGCAGTGCATGTCACTTGGGGAGGAGGGTGTCCTATTTATTTCCGAGGCCACCTCTATTTTCCTGCAGGGGGAAATTCCTTACTCTGTGGTGGGGGTGTCTTCTTCCTCCACCAGCACAGGGAGAGTTCGTTTTTGTTCTTGTTTTATTGGTTTGTTTTTGTTCTCGTTTTATTAAATATTTTGTGTTCTCAATTTGTATTTTTATGTTGTGAACCGCCCTGTCATCAATGGGTGAAGGGTGGTATACGAATTTGCCAGTGTTTCAAGGTGAGCAGGACTCTGCCCAAGCCTCTGTTGCTGTTCCCCATGAGTAGTTCCTGACTTATGAAAGAGTTAAGTGGGCAGAACCAAAGCTGCTAAGCCTTTCAGCCCTTGCTCGGTTCA